TATGTATCTCACTCATTATTTTCTGTTATTTGTTCAGTAATTTCACTAACTCAAACATTTCCCGAATGTACCTGTTTAGGTATCAGGTGTTACACTGAGTAATTGGCAAAAAGGTGAATAAGAAATAATTCCTGACCTTACAGAATTAATGTTTTGAACATGATATTAAAGCTATTTAAAGCGTAAGATTTAAATATAACTTAAATAGTAAAATATTAATACCATAATTTATAAAACTAGTTAATATTTCAATATTAGAAATAAAATATTATCATACAGGATTCAGTACTATATCCCAAGTACTTAGAATTGTATTTGATGTATAGTAGATATACAATAAATATTTGTTGAATCAATTAACTACTCATTAAAAGCAAAAGGGACACGTCTATAACGCTGATTCCAAAGGCCTTCAATCAGAACAGTAAGCTATCTTGAATCTTCATTTAAACTTGCAAGTATGTTTCCTAGTTTCCTTTTTCCTTACATCTTCATCAATCCCTGGTTCTTATTTTTTTCTTATTTTTAAATTACACTTGGACTTTTAGTTTTCCTTAATTTCATTTAGGTATATATTGGATTTGATCATACAAATTCTATCACCTCTGAGACTTTAAATTCTGAAGTTTCATTCCCTAACCATCTTTCTACTCCATTATTTCTTAGTATGACCTTTAACTTCTTTATTCTTTCTTCTCAATTTTCTACTACTCCCGTGATTCCACCTAACTCTTACTCTCTGTTCCCATCAACAACTCTCCAGTGCTAGCTTTGAAAGAAATGCTTTACATCTGCTACGTCTACTTCCTCCCCACACTTTTAAATCTTTATTATTGGTGCCAAACTCCAAGCCTCCCTTCCACTTTGTCTATCAAGTCACCAAAGTTTTCCTAATCACTGCTATTATTGTTAGGTGCCATCGAGCCAGCTCCAACTCATAGTGACCCTATGTATAACAGAATGAAACAATGCCCGGTCCTGTGTTAGCCTCACAATTGCTGCTATGCTATGAGCCCATCATTGAAGCCACTATGTAAATACATCTCGTTGAGGGCCTCCCCCTTTTCTTCAGGCCTTCCACTTTACCAAGCATGATATCCTTCTCCAGGAAATGGTCCCTGCTGACCAAAGGAGGTGAGATGAAGTCTGGCCATTCTTGCTTTCAAGGAGCATTCTGGCTGCACTTCTTCCAGGACAGATTTGTTCATCCTTCTGGCAGTCCATGCTACTGTCAGTATTCTTCGCCTTTTCGCAAACACCACAACTCAAAAGCATCAACTCTTCTTCAGTCTTCCTTATTCATTCATTGTCCAGCTCTCACATGCATATGAGGCTACTGAAAATACCATGGCTTGGGTTAGGTGCACCTTAGTCTTCAAAGAGACATCTTTGCTGTT